GTGTGATGCTTTACAAACCGAACCAGGAATTCATGATTAACCAAGTGGAAAGGAGAGCAGTGAGTTGGCCCTCTCTCTCATTTGAGCTGATGTCCATTCATTTATTAATAGAGGATATCTGTCCAAAGGGTTGGTGCTCCTCAATCTTCTGATATTGTCAAGGCCTCTGGTGATGATGCCATTAAGTTAGTATGCCCCAATATTCCTTAAAGTTGTTAAAAAATTGGGCCAAAGTCCCTGTACTATAGTACAAGGTCATTGGTCAAATTTTGCCAAAAATGCCAAGGAGAGAATTCTTCATTTTTACTATATTTTCTGATGCATATAGATGTTCTTATGTTGTATAGAAAGTTTGAGCCGATTCCGATCAAAGTTGGATTTTTTATGAATTTTTCAAGTTACTCAAAAATTGGGCCAAAGTCCCTGTACTATAGTACAGGGTCATTGGTCAAATTTTGCCAAAAATGTCAAGGAGAGAATTATTCATTTTTACTATATTTTTTATGCATATAGATGTTCTTATGTTGTATAGAAAGTTTGAGCTGATTCCGATCAAAGTTGGATTTTTTATGAATTTTTAAAGTTACTCAAAAATCGGGCCAAAGTCCCTGTACTATAGTACAGGGTCATTGGTCAAATTTTGCCAAAAATGTCAAGGAAGGAATTTTTCATTTTTACTATATTTTCTGATGCATATAGATGTTGTTATGTCATATAGAAAGTTTGAGCTGATTCCGATCAAAGTTAGATTTTTTATGAATTTTTAAAGTTACTCAAAAATCGGGTCAAAGTCCCTGTACTATAATAATAGTACAGGGTCATGGGTCAAATTTTGCCAAAAATGTTAAGGAGAGAATTTTTCATTTTTACTATATTTTCTGATGCATATAGATGTTGTTATGTCGTATAGAAAGTTTGAGCTGATTCCGATCAAAGTTAGATTTTTTATGAATTTTTAAAGTTACTCAAAAATCGGGCCAAAGTCCCTGTACTATAATAGTACAGGGTCATGGGTCAAATTTTGCCAAAAATGTTAAGGAGAGAATTTTTCATTTTTACTATATTTTCTTATGCATATAGATGTTGTTATGTTGTATAGAAAGTTTGAGCTGATTCCGATCAAAGTTAGATTTTTTATGAATTTTTAAAGTTACTCAAAAATCGGGCCAAAGTCCCTGTACTATAGTACAGGGTCATTGGCCAAATTTCCTCAAAAATGTCAAAAGAGAGACTTCTTCATTTTTATAAATTTTTCTGATGTATATACATGTACTTATGTCGTCTAGAAAGTTTGAGTGGATTCTGATCAAAATTAAATTTTTTACGAATTTTTAAAGTTGCTCCAAATGCCATGTACATGTACATACAGTATATTATAACTCTAGTACTTGTCAGTATGATTACTTTAATCCTTAAAAAAATAGTAGCTGGAATTAGTAATTGCTCTTTACAATGTCATTAGGTGTGTAGAGTCGGTCTCTGATAGTGTCTTGTGTCATTTCAAAGAAGCAGCTGAGAAGTTGATTGAGGAGAAAGGCCCAGAGAATGCACTCTGTGCTGCTCTGGCTTACATCACTGGGTTTACTGAGCTCACCGCAAGATCACTGCTAACCTCTGAAAAGGTTAAAAAAGGATTTTAAAGAGTTTTTTTTTTTCTACAATTCTTAGCCAAACTGAGTGAACTCTTACTTCTTTTCTCCCTCTCCTATTCCAGGGCTACACAACGTTTATGTTTTCCGGTGAACAAGAGGTTCGTTCTCCAGGCTACTTTTGGAATATAGTGGAGAGACTGTGAGTTGTATAAAATCACGATGATTAATAATAATGATAAATAAATCACAAAGGTCATACAGCCCCATTTTTATGACATGTTTCAATGCCGTTATGCTATGTAGAAAGTTTAACCAATCTCGATCACTAATTCTTGAGTTATGAGAATTCCAATAAACATTTGACTCTTATTTCAGTACTCTCTCGCTGTATTTGTTTTGTATAATAGATTTGGAGAGGAAGCAAGAAGATCAGTAAGAGGAATGAGACTATGCAGTGACAATAAGGTGCTTAATGAAGAAATCAATGTTATTATTTATTTCATTATATAGAGTGTGGTATTTGATCTCCCAAGCAATACTGCAAAGCAATTTGAGGTAAGGACAAGAATAGTATATAATATCAGTTAATTCAGTTTTGAACCTTGTACGGAGGCTTCATTGCTGTGATGTAAAGATTGAGGGAGATTACGCTTTTGTTATTTTTTGCTAGTCCTCCTGCGGTACTTCAAAAGGAATAACAGTCTCTATACCTCAGACTCTCCCTGAATTGAAGCCACGCCCAAACGAGTTTTACCAGCGCCAGCAGCAGCAGTCACGTAATGGCCGGTGGTCATTTGGGAGAGGAGGAGGAGGAGGAGGGTCTGGTAGGGGGCGTGGCAACTGGAGAACTAGCAGAAAATAATGTAATTATAACTTATTATTTATTCATTATTCTTAATTAATTATTATTAATTAATAATTATTTATTATTTATTATTTAGTACTAATTTGATTTCTGACCCATTGATAGTTAAGATTACATGATGTGTTCTATATTTTACATCAAATTTTGATTATCTTAAATTAACTATTAAATCATGACCTAAATCAAACTCTTGTTAAACTATAGCTTCTCATTATATGTAATTATTTATGCTATGCTATGCTTCAAAAAAAGAATCGTAAATTATTAAACAAATTATTAGTTTTATG